TCTGGATTAATTTACCATAATTCTTTATTAGATTCTTCTTTACTTAAAAGAGGAGGGAGATCATCTTAAATACTTTTAACAAGCTCTAATACAATTTAATCAGGTGTTTTTTCTGATGATCCACCACCTTCCCTTGGTTATATAGATAGGATAGTTTCTAAAATTGAGTCACTTTCTCTTTATTAGAATGTGATATTGGCATTTTCATGCATACCAAAAACTGCAGGATCATCAGTCATAGGTAAAGATTCAACATATTTAATATAATCTTCAACTACACTTTTCTCAGGTATTCTGTATGTATTATTTTCACAAAAAACATAATTATCATCCAATACTTCATTACATATAAATTTCCTCAAAATAGTCATTAAACATCTTCTATCCCAATCATCAGTTACTCTACCACCATAATTGATATTACCACTCACATATAACATAGCATCCCAAGGTACAGTATCATTTTCACCTAAAAGCATTTTAATAACTGTCTTTGAAGTTTCAAGATCACTATCATTAAATTCATATTTGATATTCCATCCCAAAGGACCAAATTTCTTACGTTCTTAAATAATGGCATGGAAATAACATAATCCCATAACCAATTTATGATATATCTCTGGTTTTGCTGCTGTATCCAAAAATTCATTAGAAATATCTTATAGAGATCTCTTAAGATTAGCCTTCAAACCTCGAGGTGGTTCTGTTGTTAATTTGATTCCATTTTATAATATACTTACTGGGAAATAGGAAGCAGGCATAGAAGTGAGGAACAATCTATAACTAGGATTAATTGTTGATTTTTTAGCTGTAATATCATCTACTAATTTTTCTAAGTCTGGCATAAATGTTCTTGCAAGATGACAATTTTATAATAAAACCCAACCTCCTGATTAAGTGGCATCATTAATTTGTTTTGTAGCAATCTTTCCTTAGCCTTGACCCAATGAAATAATAGCTAAATTTTCTTCAAAGTTTCTTTCCTTTGCAAATTTCAAAATTTATGATGTTGGATCTGCACCCTAAGATAATACAAAGATTATAGGAGTTGTAACATCTGAATCATTATATAATGTTTCCATTGTTGTATTTGGAGATTCCAAATAAAATCTACCAATATTTTATTCAACATAATTTGAAAGTGCAAATAATATTTTTTCGCTTCTAAAAATCTTAATAATCATCATTTTTTCAA